AAAGAAAAACTGTGGAGGCAGAAATGTCTGTGACTAGTTTCTTGAGCCCACAGCATTAGCAGTTATTCAAATAAGCTCTTTCCTTCCTCATCTCTTTACAGAGACCACGATTCTGATAGGATTGGTTGTGTTCTCATGGTCAAACACAAATGCGTTAATTTCACTGAATCATGTAAGATAAAAACAAAGCAACAAAAAATAGTTATTAGGTATTGACAGAACAGTTTCTGTGTTGTTTTTTTTATTTAAACCACTCTTAACAGGAAGGTATTAAGTGTAATTATCTGGAATGCAATGGGAAAGATGCGTCTAAATTCACCTATTCACTGTGACACACAAGATGGACCCCGCCTCTCACCCATAGACAGCTGGAGATAGGCACCAGCATGTCAGCATGTAAAGTGTGTCAGATAATAGATGGATGGATGGATTATTCATATTAATTTCTATAATAATGCTAATGTATTTAAATTACATAATCATCAGTTTTATGTATTTAGTTTTAGAAACCAGTATATTTAATTTAAATACATAAAATAAACTGTTTGAAGAACAGTAGCTTGCTCCATCCATGATAGCCTTAGAGCTGAGGACCAGCACACAGGCCAAAAATAAATAAGCATACAGAGGCACTTCTTATTAGTACGGTGTTGCCATTCTCAGATTATGCAGAAGTTTTCAACAAAGTATTGCATAGCTCATTTGGATATCTATTATTTGTAGAAAAATTAAGGAGTATTAGTTCTACAAAGTAGTACCATTAGTGCTATCACATCCACTAGAGGAAGCCAGTCTTCATTCTTAGGTGGAGACTCACTAGTAGTTATAAGATTTGACACAGCGGCCAAATTCGAACACAGCCAGAGTTTCCAATCTATGGCTAGATCAATTTAGAGCCAAGGTATTTAATCTGATTTAGTTAAACCTGCTTTGTGTAATAGACTTATTTCTCCTAGTGCAAAACCTTAAAGGTATAGTGGAAGATGTTCATTTTCTGGGTGGATCATCAAAATAATTGGTCCTCCTAATTGTCAGTCACTCTGGTGATATGTTTACGTAAGGCCATCCTATGTGCTCGTGCCCATTTTCACCATAGTGAAACTGACATAGTGGAAAAACTGCAAATCTCCTTTGATTAAAGGAGAATTCCGGTTTTTAACACTTTTAGCCCATTTTCTGTAGTGTCCAGGATGAAATTGAATGATCGACACCAAAATTTTGACAATTGGTCCTGTCTCTGCTTTTTGGCTCATGCAGAATCCCCCCCTGGCTGCTTCAGAATGGCTTCCATAGTGCATGTCCGATAATGTCCTTAAAACAACCTTAAACGTTCTTTTTTTAAAATATGCTACTCACCGGGTCGTCAGCGCTGTTCAATGACGTTCCAGAAAAAGTTTCGTAAAGAAAAAACGTTCCTGTAGTGTTTTATTTAGCATTTTGTAAATCCCATTGAGTTCTGTTGGAATAGTCAATATTCCGCTGCCACCGGAAACGGAAATGGGGCCTGTTTACACAGTTGTAGTCTTTTCGCTTCACTCTGTGTACTCCGACGTCGAGAATCAAGAATCCACCTTTCGTATTCCATTTTCAGAGTTTTTTAACCCTTATATTATGTTGAAAAAAAATTACATTCATTATGTTGCGGGTCATTTTGACCCGCACTGTGTAAATGCATGCAAAATAGTCAAGAAAACAGGTTAAACCACTAGACAATTTATTTTAGATTACTTAAACATTAAGTCAAGTGACAAACCATACAGTTTTAATTCACACACTTTATTTAGGTTTAAAATGTTGCCTCTTCACAAATTATGTTTTTTAAACTTAACCTTTAAAATTCGCTAGTTACTAATATTTTAAACATTCAACAATTTTAAAGTTCTCCACATGATGGGAAGAATGTAACTGCTTTCTGCAGATGGAATTCATACATTTCACACAAGATGTACTAGTTTTACTGTCCTCTAAAGAGGGACAGAGCTAGGATATTTTCACCCGTCTCCACTTTATGTCGGTTGGGTAGCGGGCAGTCTTGCCCTGGCAGCTGTATATTGCTGTGACTTTGTCCAGACTTTGTCAACTCCTCCTCTGGTTGAGTTATACTCCAGGATCATTTGCGCCTTCAAGTCCTTTCTTGTGTTCAGAGATATATCAGCTTGCATTATATTCATGATAAGAACCTTCTGTTCCCAACATGGTCAGCTTTCTTTTCTGAAGTTCTTTTTCAAGGAGGTAGGACATAGAGGTTGTCACAAGTGATGTTATGACTTGCAGCCCTTCATTCATCTCCAGCATCAAACACATCCCCTGATTCTTCTAAGCTTTTTCTCCAGATAGCTTTCCAGTATATACTTGCATATTCCATGGATAGCTGGATTTTGCACCTCAGGCTTCCCATATTATGATATGGGCATTCTGAGAAATGCTGACTGAATCTCCTCAATTCATGTGATGGCAAATCTGGTAGGACCAGGAGTTTTTATCAAATTAGCTGATGATAGTCTGCATCTACTCTGGTGTGGTGATGTCACTCTTGCGGAAGATGATTGCCTCATTCCTGGACTTTCATCTGTTCGGGGGATAATAGCAGACTCATCCTCTGAATCCGTCTCATAGTAGGAGAATTGATCATGTGGATCAATAATAACTTTGTCTTCTGATTCTGAAATATCTTCTGCCTTAGAAACCCATTCTTCTGCATCACTATCCCAGTACAAAATTTGTGAAAAAGACTACTCAGCTGTAATCCTTCAGGAGCTAAGTTTTTGGTGAGTTTTTTCATATAGATGACGTGAGAGCAGTGACAAGAACTAGTGTAAGAAAGTTCTCTCCCTTACCACACCTGGGTCTGTGTCTCAGAGGCAAATGAAAAGAGTAAAGTACATCAAAGAGCCATTTTTATTTACCTGAATGGCTACTTACCCACATTAAAGTGTCCGGGTCAAAATGACCCACAACATCATATTTGTATACATACTCTGCACAGACACTCCACTACACATCAGAGTGGCCAGATTTTACAAACATGTTCATGAGCCCAGATGAGGAAAAGTCACCAAATTTCACGAAGAAAAAAAATAAGATACCCAGTACTTTGATCAACACAAAAACTGAAATGGGTCAAATTGACCTTTAACATAATATAAGGGTTAAAGTGTTTAACAGAGACGTTAGCACCTCGACGTCGGAGTACACAGAGTGAAGCGAAAAGACTACAACTGTGTAAACAGGCCCCATTTCCGTTTCCGGTGGCAGGGGAATATTGACTATTCCAACAGAACTCAATGGGATTTACAAAATGCTAAATAAAACACTACAGGAACGTTTTTTCTTTACGAAACTTTTTTTGGAACGTCATTGAACAGCGCTGACGACCCGGTGAGTAGCATATTTTAAAAAAAGAACGTTTAAGGTTGTTTTAAGGACATTATCGAACATGCACTATGGAAGCCATTCTGAAGCAGCCAGGGGGTGATTCTAAATGAGCCAAAAAGCAGAGACAGGACCAATTGTCAAAATTTTGGTGTCGATCATTCGATTTCATCCTGGACACTACAGAAAATGGGCTAAAAGTGTTAAAAACCGGAATTCTCCTTTAAATCAGAGACCAGCAATGCTGAACTTTGGGCATTTATGTATTACATATATAATTTGTATGTTGGCCTTGTGGTAAGAGCAGTGTGCTTGTGCTCTGAGAAGTTTGCAAGTATTCGGTTTGATCCCCACAGCCTCCACTATGGGATGAGTTAAATGCAAAGGTAAATTTCTCCAATTTGACATCAATTAAGTTCAATTATTATTATTTTTATCACAATGAATCCAATTTAATAACTTTTTAAAATTAAATTGTTGGATCTAGTACAGTTTTTGTGTCTGGTTTTTGGTCTACCATATGTTAGAATAAGCTCACCAATTCCTTCATACTGTTTTTTGATCAAAGAGACTATTTGAGGGTCCCTTTCAGAGGCTGAGGCATCAAGAACTTGCACAGCTGGTGTAGGCATTCCCATATTAGCAGAACACTTACCAAAGCATATATCTTCTCAGCTGAGTAAAATCTCCAGTTAATTTTAAAGAGTCCGCTATAGTTACACTAGAAGGAGATTATTCAGTAACAATGATACATTAAAAGAATGATGTACTGTCGAGATATAATTGTGTTGTGAAGCAAGCTATTATCAAAATATGCACTATAAAAGCTCAGAACATTCCTTGTGGCATATAAATCTCCAAATTAGAAAGCTGTAAGTTAACCGAAATGTGAGTACTACTTGGCAGTATGGATTTAGAAAAAGTCAGAGTTCACTTATCTGATGCATCTCGGGTTCAGAAGTGATTTAAAACAAGGAATATGAAAATTTTAGCATGACATATCATCTGTGTGTCCATGGAGGCTCTTGAAGCTCTGACTATAGCCTCAGTCCATGTATTATGCTTCTCCAACTAAATTATGGTTGATTTGGCTTAAATATCTCATCAAGGCTTGTATACACGCTCTACCATTCATCTTTTCCATGAATATACCTGGGCACAACGCTCTAAATATCCATTTTCTTTTGTAATTGCATACCTTGAACACAGATCACAGCAGTGTCCGTCTATGTTCAATTTCTCTGTTTTTATTTTTATTTAATGTGATATAAAGTTAACGTTTTGAGGCACTGTCAACTTTGCTGTAAGCCATAATCATATAAATCAGGATGCAATTATTAGTGTGTATAATGAACAGGAATTTTGCTATTGGAATCAAACCACTGCCATATTTTCAGCGTTATTCTAATTTATTGTGGTTTATTTCTCTATATATGAACGAATGCAAATCAAAACTTAAGCCTGCATATTGTTTATATAAGTAGCCTATCTTGTTTAATATCTAGCTCCGCCCCTGTTTTATACACATTCTACATTTTTTTTTCTGTTTTCCTGCGCTCTCACCCCCCTTTCTACCTCTTTCCTCCTTCTCTCGCTTTTCAATCTTCTCCCTCCTACCAACAACAAGTGAGGATCATCTCTGCACATCCATCCGTTCTCCGTTCAGCGGCGGGGCTTTGAGTTGAGTTATAGATGTCTGCTGGAATTTCTTTTCTCCTCATCCATTTCACTGTTTAATCGATGGGGATGACAGACTGCAGGTGCAGCGGCGGCGTGCGTTAAAATCGGCAGGGACGGTGTGTGGTGCACTAGGACCGTGGAGAGAGAGTACTCTCATCGTGAGCAATGGAGCTGTAGAGGGAACCCCCCCACACACACTCACTGGATCTGGCGATTTTATCCTTACATTTTTCTCTCCCCTTCTCATCTCCACGGGGATCGCACCAACTAATTTGCGTTTGGGAAGAAAGCAGGAGTGGATTTCTAATTCGGCGAGATTTGCGTAGAACTCGGTTCATACATTTTTTTTAAAAGAGGGTGAAAGTGTCTTTTTGCCATATCATGTCTTCTAGGCTGTAAAAAAACCCAAAAACCCCCCACCTTTATCTCACCCGTCCAACCTCTTTTATAAAAGAGCGTGAAGATATATCGGCGCACTTTTTTTTCCCTCCAGAAAGAACCGAGGAAAACATAAATCCTCATTTTTGTGATTGAATTTCAGTCGGACGGCTGGCTGAATGGGTGACCTCGCTGAAACACAGATCACCCCCTGCTTGCAGCCGCTGTACGCACGCGTTTATTTTCTCTGCTGACCGGGAGTTGTGATGTCCAGATCCTTCCACGCTGACTGACACTTGGCTTCGTACCATTTTGGAAACAAATTGAAGGTAGGCCAGCTTTGCTTCTGTACTTCAAGGCTTGCATGTGTATTATGGCGCAATTTGGCAAAGTTTTCCGACATCATCCAAACTGATTCTTTGATTATTCCAAAAGCGTTTTTGTCCCATCTGACTTAAAGGTTTCCCTCAGACACCTGTATTTAATATGATGTAATAACCATGCAACAAAAATTACAGAGGGGCAGGAAATATTATCAGGTCAATGCTTGATGAAAGAACTTCAGCACCTATCCGGTGAGATCAGTTTCAATTGGATATCTTGTAAATGCTCCAAGGACTGATTGATTGTCAAACGAAATCTCAGCGAATGTTTTGCTTCATAAGCTCAATCGTGGAGATTTTTGTAGGAGCCCTCTGCAGTGCAGTGTCTTGTACATTCACTGAGCCGCCGGGCTCACTGGATCTTACTGAGGAGAGGATTTAGATAAAGGTGTAAGCGAAACGGAAGATCTCCCCGAAGGCGAGCCTTATTATACGCACAATGTCTTCTTTATACCAGCTGCTGGTTCAGCAACAAAGCAGACACTGAAAACACACAAATGAAACTTATGCTGTGTGTGGAGGGAGTGTAAGTCTGTGTGTGTGAGGGAGAGAGAGAGAGGTGCAATTTGAAAAGACTGGATCAGTGTATGCGTCAAATAGCCCATACAAGTCGCGCAGGCGTTAGGATTATGGTCCCTAAGGTATGAAGGCGAGAAAGGAAATTTAACCATGTTGGAACAACCGATGACACTTATTCTGATCTACTGTACTTGTTCCCCATAGAGGAAAACGAGGCGAATCGTTGGGTGGAACTGTAGGAATACCGACGCATGACGCAGGAATCTGAGCTGGGAAAAACGATTATATATTTTATACTGGGCTTTCTACCTGTATTTTTAAGGTGTTTATTTATCCCCAGTACATATAAAAAGGCGGATCAGCCGCAAGTGAGCAGGTGCTTGAAATTAACCAACTTACATTAGTTAGGTCCCTCTCTCCATGGCTCCTATAGGTTTTGCCAAGGACGGCCACATCTCTTAAAAGTCTAACTCAACCGAAGCTGTGAATCTTACAAGACACAAAGATCAGAAATAACCACCCTTAATCATAGCTGTCAGCCCAGCCCCCCTCCTCCTTCCTTATAAGCTTTTCATGTGGCCAACAGCTAATTGAGCTTGCAGGGTCCACTTAGAGGTGATCCACGCCTGTAGCCTCTTGTTAACAGCTAACAAGATACGGGGGAGCATGCGTGTTTTATATAAAAAACATAATCTCTGCGTGTGTTTTATTTTCTTAGAGCGCAGAGCCAGTCTTTAATGGATTCGTAAAGTCGCTTGTGTCTGATGTTGCAAAGTGCGGCGGATAACTGGCAGCTCGTCGCTCCCACCGGCAGCGCCTAGTCAGTAGGAAGATGACAGGAACTGTCCGTGGTGCTTAAACAGACAGCTCCTTTGTTCGAGTCTGGCCTCATTTTGTAAAGTTTGTGCAGCGGCAACTCTGAAGTAAATTGAGCTAAATATTGTAAATAAATATGTTTCTATTCGATAATCAAGCAAAGAATTATGACCCCCTGGCTAATAGCCTGTTTGTTTGAATGCCAAAACCTCTAGCTTGTGGAGGTATTGATTCCAATAAAACGGTGAAGGTGGGCTATAGTGTTTAGCGACATCAAGATAGTAGGACCTTAGTACTTTTCCGTCCTGGACGTTAGGATCTTAGGCCTCCTTTGATCTGACCTGTTGTTTCATCAGGATTAACAGATGCTCAATTGGTTTGAAATGTGAGGAATTTACTGGTTACTGAAACTTCTTTCAAAATCTTTATTTGTGTCTTGTATTGTTATTATTAAGGAACGTTTCAAAATCCTGATGTACCGTACTCACGTGCTTATTTATCTACATCCTTAGGTTACTCGTTTTTTTTTTTGGACTTGGACCATTTTCTATTAGGTTCTGAAGTCTGCAGAATGCTAACATTCTACAAAGATTTCAGTTTAAGAGATGTTCTAGACCTGGTTTAGCCATCACAATGTGTCACAAATCCTTATCTTGCTTCGAACATCACATTTAAAGATTAAATAGTCTCTTGCTGAAAAATATGTCCTATCTGCTAAAATATGGCAAACTAAAACAACAATTTGTGCTTTCTTATTATTTAATTTGTCTTTATGTTCATCCTGAATGGACTATTGCATACCGCATTCCTTTCTTCATTGTATTTGATGAATCAAACCCCATGAGTGCAATTTTATGGTGCAATGACATACCCTCCCCTCTATGATTAGTTTCATTTGCTTTGTATTTAGTGCAGTGTCACCATTTCTGCTCTAAATTACGCCATCATGTGTTCTAAATTCATTTAAAGGTTATCACCAAAAGCAGTCTTTGTAGAAGAAATCACATTAAGGCTCTGGGGGAGTAACAAAAACAAAGAAATGACAAATTGTATTCCTATATAAACCAACTATAATTACACAGAGCTTTTCTTATTATCTTTGATACCTTAACATCATTAAATCACAACAGATTGATATTTCCCTGCAGTAAATTATGTTTAATATAGTTATCAAATCATTTAATATTTTCATCCAAGATAATAATTTCTATCCAAATCAATACAAACTGACACGCTATCATTTGCCCAAAATTGTTACATTTCAAGCAGCAGACACTAATACTGACTTTAAACTGCTTCTGTCTCTACCGCACTGCTTTGAACTTCTCTGCTCATTTGATTCACACTGTGTTAGCCTCACTATGGTGCAAAGCCCAGAGGTGTTTTAAAAAGCATGCGCAAATACTCAACAAAACCCAGGGATAAACTGTTGCACCTCTTTTGCATCTATATATTTTCACTAGTTATATTCTACAATTGGTAGGTACACTGACAACAGAAAAGTTAAAGCAGGTGCTTTCAATGCTTGATTGCATTTAATGTTCAATTGTTATGCTTTGATTACCTAAGTTAATTTAAACAGCCAAGTATCTAATCCTTGTGTGTCTAATAATACACACATAAATCGGAATACATTTCAAGATTTATCAACATAGCAAGATTTCTAAGAAAATATAGGCAGTGATTATGAAATTGTTTTTGAAAAGACAGTTGTGGTGATTCTTTAGTTTGCTATTTGGTACTAAGTGATTTAGTGTATAAGATACGGCCCCCGCCCCCACTTTAGAAACATATCTACACCTGAATGCAAACATAACTTCAACTAAACATTTTTTGTGTATGTGATGCAGTATGGATTCCACGGGTTTAAAAACAAAATGTCTGATAGTGTGTGCAGGCTGCACACCATGTCTGCTATAAACACAGCTGGGGAACTAATACAGCACCCAAGAGGAAATCAAATTAACTCTGGGGGAGCTGTGACAGCTTCTGTGAACCCAATAATTGACTTCAGTGCTTTTCTGTGATTACTGTGGTACAACATCTTTAAATGCACATGATCTGGGGTGTATATCAAAATGTCTTTAACTGGTTACTTTGTAGAGTACAGAGGGTACTGTACTGTGAGTAGGGACTCTCCATGCTAAGCAGTGCCTTTGTTTTTGGTCATCTCAATTTGTAGAGTAGCTGACAAAGTTCCTGGAATTAGACTTATCCCTGTGATTGACGGTGTGTGTTTTCCCTTAGTAACATTGATTGAATTAGGCCACCATGTAGACCCATTGCTTTCCCAAGGAGGGGAAAGCAATCCTGCAGTGAGGTTTATCAATAAGCGGGTGGTTGGAGTGCTATAGTGCTGGTATTCCCCGTGGGCAGACAGCCGGTGATGAGGAAAGAACTCGCTCAGGGAGAGACCCTGATCACACGGCAGATTGGAAGCCCTCGGTGCTAACGTCTGTCGGTCCCTGCCGCAGGGGAAAAAGGGTTGGAGCCACACGGAGCTGACCCAGTAGCACACACTGGGCCAAACTTCAGGTTAGCCTTCATACAGAAATCAGATCTGTGCAGCTGTGCTTTTACTTGGCTTTGTTTTGTTTATTTATTTTTTTTGTTTTAGCTATATCACAATGCATGCTTTTCATGTGTTTGGTTAGGTTAACTGAAATGTGCTCAAGTGAAAACAGATTAGGAGCCAAACCAGTTTGCAAACCTAGGATTATTATTATTATTATTTTGATGCCATTGTTTTGAAGGCTGGTTGCTTTGATGTGGACCCCCTTGAGGCCACTGGCAGCTGAGCTCCCACTGTGGCAGATTGATATTTGTAATTTAAAGGAAGTTGTCACACAGCATCCTCCAGATGGAAAGAGCTGTAGAGGCATGCTGTCAATTAAACATGGTTTGTTTAGAAATAATCATTGTGATGCAGAACCCCGGGAGCTATTTCAGGCAAATTTGCTCCAAGTTTAAAAAATATTCAATTAAATAATAATCCAGCTGAGCATGTTTTAATAACACATGGGTGTGGAGGGCACACCCATGTCCCTGAGAGCAAAATATCAAAGCAGAGAGAGCAGGCCAGTGATTTGTGGCTCTGCTGCAGAAGAGGTTATGCGACGAGATGAGAGCAAATTCATTAAAAGCCACAAGTATGCTCAGGCATGCACTCAGACACATGCATCTGGATCAGAGTTGTGCTTTTTTTTTATCTCTCTTGTCACATTGATTGAGATCAAGACAAGAATAACATTGAATAGAAAGCACTGCTTAATGGACTACAGTTAAATAGAATTTAAAATGCACTGTAACCCCATACTGACAAATTAGGATGTTGGTATTCAGCTGCTGGTTTAATGACCACCGATTTTAAACAACTTTCTGCACAGCTGTCTTGTAAAAATTGTAAGAGTTAAAAAGTCTACCTTTGTATAATGTTTTTTATTTTATTTATGTCAAAACATGATTATAATGTTTCAGATATTCTTGTTCTGGGAATGATGAACTGTCTTTATTTTGCAAAAGTTCCTTGAGTGCGACGTCAATGATTTAGTTATATTGTGGTCTAAACAGCTGTTGTCAGTAAGACAGATGACACTGGAATCGAAAATAGC